TCATCTTCTCCACCCTCATGGCGATCTCCACCTGACATCTTGAAGAAACCTGAGGAAACCAGTATTTGTTGTAAAGAAAAATGCTAATGAGCGAAGTAAAATTATATCAATTTTAGCAGAAATTATTATTGTTTGTTTTTCTTCAACGTACACACATAGATATTTAATAACATAACAAACCAGTACTTTTCTGCCACTCCTAACTTCCTTGAACTCATCACATGTTCTCTCTAGATCCACAGACACATCACAGCAGCTTTTAAGGTTCTCTATAATTCTAATTTAAATCTCAAATTAACATTTCTGATATTCTTCCCTGGACTTAGGCTCCGCCTCAGATCTTTAAAATGATTACAGCTCAGCTCATCATCCATCTTGAACACTGATACAGTCTCTTCTTTCACATCCACTGGGTTTTTCCATTCTGGCAGATTGTTAGTCAACATTACCAAAAAAATAAATGTGAAATCAACGCACGATCAGCAGATGCGGGTTTGATTGGATTTGTTTATGATTTACGGATGATGACGTCATCTAGACTACTTTGCCAGGAGGGGTTTAGTGATGCTGACAGACGCAGGAGGTGGAGGGGTATAAACAAAGCGGTACATCGTGGTTCTCCGTTACTGCTTTCATAGCATCAGCTGCGGTAACGATACTCACCCGAGAATCGGCCGCTGCTGCTGCTCCGGGGGGAGTGATGGGGGTTACTCAGCACAACTTATCCGACGTTAGCTTCAGTCTGGGTTAGCACGACTGAAAATAACAATAACAACAATGGCTGCTGTGTCATCACCGCTCGTGATGAGTTTAATTTGACTGAATATTCCCGCAGCGACGCTTCAATATCTTAACCGGAAAGAAAAGAAAGCCATCATTCTTTCCCCTGTCGCAGCTTTACTCCACACGAACCGCTGCCGCTTGTGATGATGTCATAAAAAAGGGCTTCCGCGTTTGGGTGGGGCCAGCGTGACGTATGAAGCGAACCCTCTCGGACAACAACAGAGAGCCACTGACGTATTATTGGTTTTCAACAAATAATTTTAAATTTAGTTTCCATAAGTAGAAATTTAAAACATACATTTAATAAATGTGTATCGGATTAATTTAAAAAAAATCTAATTTCAATCAGGCACGGCTCCCCACATTGGCCGCCATGTTGGATGACCATATATGTACATTGTAAATAGAACGTTGACACATCCGTGATATCGATTGTTTTTTAAGCTCTAAAATGTCCGACTGCTTTAGTTTTGTAGTGAATTATGAAGATGAAAAAAACCTGAATTATATTAAACAGTGATTTACAAAAAGGTTAAGATTTTACAACATTTATGAATTATAAAAACAAAGGTTTAACTGTTGAGTGTTGATAGGACGACAACATTTTACAGTTTGGTATAAAATAAACGACTTTTATGCCAAAGCTATAGAATTGTGCTTTATTGTCAATATTACTCCAAAGATTTATTCATATTCTTTCACAGCAACAAATACAACAATCAATAATAACACACTGCGCTCCCCACATAAACCTAACAGTTTCCGTCTTCTTCAGCCGTTGTGTGGTGACGCTGCCAGTCGCATGGACTCAAACCCTACAGCACACTGAGAGCAGAATCACCAAAGTATTGGTTGAATATCTCAGGGTGAGCCTGGGAGAACTGTCCGAGTCGGCGTTTTCTCTCCTTGGCCGAGACCTTTGTGTTCAGGTGTATGCTGTTCAGTAAGGCCCACAGTTCCTGCCTGGTGTTCTCCTTGGTCGAATCAGTGTACGTTCTGCTGGAAACCTGCTGACATGTTACAGGGCCTGAAGGGAATGAAGAAAGAAAAGGAAGAGTGAACGGGACAACGGACCAGATTTACGTTAACTGACATAATCACTGTTTACCAGTGACATCAGGCTGAGTCTCCTGGACGAGACCAGCCAACTTGTCACTCACTCCTTTGTGCAGAGCCCCAGGAATCTGGAAGAACAAAGACATAAATCCTAGTTTTGACAACACAATGCAGATTAAAAATGACACTTCTGTTCAATTCCCCAGTTTTCTTCCTTACACTGAGGCTCAGCTCAGCTGAAGGTAACACTATGTTGGTGTGAGATTTATTTACTTTTACTGCACAATATTTCACAACTCCATTTGTGCAATATTGAGGGAGGGAGATGTCATTTTTTGTGACATGAGATAAGGTTTGTCGCAAGACGTGTAAATGTTTTCTTATGCGTCGTATTTCAAATTTGATTCAGTTAAATTCTATTGGGAAACACGTTCTGACACTGACTTTCTTTACCTTAAAGATTTCCTTAATGTTGCTGAGCATGAAGACCACCAGTAGGTCTTCTTTGTCTTTTGGCAGGACTCTGCTGTGGACCACAGCTCTGGAGAACGCCCTCTTCACTGCTAACCTGTTCTCCATCTGGACGGACGACAGCACTCGGTCGGACGTTTCACTGAATCTTTAATAAACAAACGATGATGTAGTTGCCAGTTCTTACCTCCTTATCCAGTTTAATCCCTTGAGGATCTGCCGCCAGGCTCATGAAGGTTAGCAGTCTGCGTAGCTCGTCTCTGCAGCCAGGGGGCAGCAACTTCAAGCACAGCTGCAGTGCCTCCAGAGCCTTGTCAAACTTGGCATTAACTGAAGAAGAAAGTGAGACGGGGGAGTACAGCGAGTGATGAGGTGGAGTACAGTGGTACTGGATACTGACGCAGGGTCAGTACATTCAGAGCGTATGTCAAATTTAAAGTTACTCTGCAGTTGACACACGGTCAGTACATTCAGAGCATATGTCAAATTTTAAGTTACTCTGCAGTTTAGCTTCAACTGATCCAGGCACTGACACCTGAACGTCCACAGCGTGTGTTCAACCTCTGGTTCTCACCCAGCAGCTCGGTGATGGCCGTGTAGACGTCACTCATGTTCTGAGGCATCAGTGGAGACCTGTCCGTGTGGCCGTAGTGTCTGCTCACGGTTCTGTACAGCAGCAGCTTCCATTGGTCCAGGCCACTCACTGAGAGACCAGGCTCCTCACTGGCGCCACCTGGTGCGGACGACAAGTAATGACAAACCCCAGAATGACTAGAGCCGTCTGTGGATCTGACCGATAACTGACCGTGGTTCGACGTCTTTCCTCCGTCCTCTGCACCTCCACCTCCACCAGCAGCCTGCTCACAGCTCTCAGGGTCCTGAGGGAAACATCGAGGCAGCTCCCTGCTCAGCTCCACCACGGGCTGATCAGACAGGAAGTCCAGACAGTCCAGAGCTGCACGCAGCCACTGGTCCTCCCTGACGGGACGATCAGCACGATCAAAGAAAACTGAATGAAGAAACCAACGATATCTCAGCACGATCAAAGAAAACTGAATGAATGAAATCACAGATTTTCACTCTAAATGATTACACGTTTCACAGCTCAGACATACTGAGTGTCTCTGAAGGCCTTGAGGATCTGTCTGTCCAGGTGATTGCTGCTGTAGATCAGGTCTGGATTATTGTGAGGCGGCCGGTGACGTGGTGACGACTGGACCTGGCTGCAGTGAAGCAGCCCTTCCAGAAGGGGGACCTCAACCAGGTTTAGCAGCCTGAGCAGAGTCTGTTCATGCCACACCTCGTCCACCACTGTAGGGGGGGTTCACATGTCTAATTTTATTGATCTGGTTTTTTTTTTAAATATTTGTTCAGGTTTATTTTAAATGACATCATAGTGATAAACATGGCAGTGACAGACGACCAAACAGTTCTGCGTTAACAGAAGGTGAAAATGGACATTTTCTCACAGCAGAGTAGGTGTTTTTTAACTGGTCGACAGTGACTTACCTGACTGTGGTACGGCCGAGTGGCTCTGGATCCTGCTGGGACTCACACTCATCCACTGACTGTCCACAGCCTCCACTGACAGGCTGACAGGGACATTAGTGGACATCTGGATGACTTTGACAGGGGTTGATATGGACACGTGTGTCTCTGTGGGACACGTCCGTTCATCTTGTCTACAGACATAAAACACAGATGGTTGAGAGTCGGTTCAGTGTGGTGCAGCCGATCACTTCAGTCATGTTGGACACTGTTCCTGCCTCTCAGACTGATCTCTGCAGAAGAGTCTTTGAATCCCATCAGCGAGGAAACCTCTCTCCAACTCGTCCACTGAAGGGACTCGCACCGTAACAAACCTGTGTTTAGAGACATGGGAAAAAAAATTTAAAATGAAGGAAAGTCAGGATTTTTGTCTTAAGGTACAATAAAACTCTTTGCAGATATCTGACCTGTAGAGGGCGCTCTTGCTGGTAACAAACCTGTGTTTGGAGACATGGAAAAAAAAAAAATTTAAAATGAAGGAAAGTCAGGATTTTGGTCTTAAGGTACAATAAATCTCTTTGCAGATATCTGACCTGTAGAGGGCGCTCTTGCTGTCCTGAAACACTTCCTGCTTCCTGTCTTTACCGAACACTTTGGTGCCCACCGCCTCAAACACTTTACAGTCCAGCAGAGCCTGGCACACACACACCACTTTGTCTCGAGACACGTCAGCGTCTTTGTCGAAATAATCAGAACAATATTTGAAAAAAAAAAACAAACAAAAAAACACCAATGTATGAATGTATGATGATGGAATGTTTTAAATGTAAAAGAAAATACTACATTGCTCTGGAAATAATCTTGGAACAAATATATATAAATATATTTTACATTAGACAAAAAAAATCTGCCTAACAAACATCTTAATTAACTTTAATTATTTTAATTAACATAAATTCACAAATGTAATTTTAATTAACATCTTTAAAAAAATGTTATGCTATTACCAAAATATATTTAAAAAAAACCTCAAAATACTGTGTATTTGATAAAACCAACAGTCACCTTGGAAGCCCTTGACGCCGCTCATGTGTTCAGTCACCACATCCACAGCTTCACAGCCCAGAAAACAGTCACTGTGGGATTTGAGGTGAAGCCAGCGTCGCTTCACCGTCACAGACGACCTGAGGTGTGAGATGAGTCCACTCCACAGTGAGGAGGACTGAGGTTTACCTGGGACACAAAGACCTGAGGGACACCCACCAGGGAAGAAAGAAAAATAATACTCAACTTTCAGTCAAATCTAACAGGAAATGGTCCAGTCAGGCCTTCACAAGCCTTATTTTTCACATTTGAGCAAATGTTTTATTTCTATGTTACATATTTAAAAGTGTTGCAGTATAAAGGCCTGTCTTTGGTCTGAGGTTTCAAACCTCCAGCCCACACGACACAACAGGCCTGTAAAATGTAATTTTAGTTTAAAAATAAAATCTGAAAAAAGTTCTTGTAAATTTTTTAAACGAAAACATTTTTAAAATAAAAGAAATGTATCAAACTAAATTAAAAAACGCTCTTTTTTGTGGACATTTTCAGATCTTTTTTTGTTTTTGAGCTGATGTCGGCAGCAGTGGCTCCGGCTACTTTAGTCCGTCGTAATCGGAAGTTAGTGTAAAGATTATATAAATATATTATTAAACTTAAATTTGAAATGGATATTTATCCAACATTTAACGACAGATTTAAGCCTGTACATTTTAATTTAATAGTATTTCAAAGGTATTTTCTGCTGTAGCATCCAGACAGCGTTAGCTCAAGATCGTTCCAAAAAATTAACTTTTTTTAACTAACATTTTTACAAATGTGTTTTTACCGACTTTTGATTTCCATGGTCTTTTCTCGAAGACTCCTTGGATTCTTCAGTGAACACACGTGACCAGTTGTCGTGACAAACACCTTGTGTTGAGCGGACTCACCCTGCGGCCTCACACGCAGCTTCTCTGCCAGGTTCAAGGCCGCGGCGCGTTCCTTTATCGAAGCCATGTTTCCTACTGTCGTGAAGCGACAACGAAAAGCCACGAGTCTGAAAATAACATGAAAAACCAGAAGAGAACGGGAGCAGGATCCAATGTGGCGTCTGTACTCAGCCGTGCAACTCTCTTTAAGACCGCTAGATGGCAGCAATCACCCAATAACACTAGAACATTTAATGATCAGTTATGTAGTAAAACGTGTACATTTTCCTGTTATGTAGAGGAATTTCAATAATAAATGTAACATACATCAATAGATATGTTTTATAAGAATATTATTATAATATTATTAACATTTGTGTTTCGTTTTTTTACAATATATTTTTAAAAATACATCTGTAGTAGAGGGAAACGAACACGTTCAAAATGAGCAGTGAATATATGCGGTCTTGGTCACAAGAGGGCGCAATTAGGGAGTAGTATTTCATCCGTTGAACAAATCATATCTACTTCAAACAAAACATTGTTTCCTCATACATGGATGTATTTATTTTTCATTGGAATTTGATTAATTAATTAATATTTTTCTGTTGGTCTGTGTATTTTGTTTACAACACTTTGGTTATAAAATATTACCTGTGTTGAAGCAGCTCAGTCCATTTCTTATTTACCACCGATGCTTCAGACTCACCTATGAAAACCAACATGATAAACTGAATAAAAAGAATTTATTTTTCATGTCATTTTCACATCTGAAGACATTCAGTCGTTTGTCTTTTTGATGAGGTCAAAGAAAACATTCTGCTTCCAACCTAAATGTGTTGTCAGCAAAGAGCCAAGTTTGTAATGAAATATATATTTTATCAGTTCTGATAGGGAGGAAATGTGTCTCATCAGCAAACTGTCTCTTTAGTAGAGGAGCGTCGTATCCATCATGGAGACAAGGTGGAGACGAGAGTGGACGTCGGACCAATTCTCCGCTGGTTTTTAGGGTTTTTTCCTAATTCATCTTCACTCTATCGGCTGGAAAATGAGTGTTTAGATCCAGCGGTTAATGTGACTACTGGAAGTGGAGGAAAACTGCAGTTACACTGAGCAGCTTCTCTCTCTCTCTCTCACACACACACACACACAGATGAGAGATAAAGGCCTTGTCAGGCAGCTGAGATACAGCACCAGAGCCCTGGGGAGTTTCAGGGGATTTCCACCAGGGAATTGGACACATTGTCTGATTTACACTAACACTTTGGCTAAACTTACGATAAAAAAAATTCACAAAAGAAACACGACAGTGTGTGTTTCCATCTCTGCCTCTGTTTGTCTGTGTCTGTTCTGTTTGGTCAACAGACAGTAAAACTGAATCCTTCAGACGCTCAGGTTGAACCACAGTGAAACTAAACAAGTTCAAGTTTATGAATTTCCTTATCTGAACCAACGGCTTCTTTCTTAACACGAGCCAAGGAATGTAACCAGGAATCTGGAGGGAGATAAAGAGGAAGAAAAAAACCCTAATGGTAACTGCTATACGACGGGGGGTGATCATCTCAGAAACTCTACAGTGCATTTGTGAAGTTGAGAAAGGGCAGGTTTGGGTCACCAACAGAGCAGGATGTTCTGTGGTGAGGAACAGAAACTCCTCGTCTGAATTATGGAACGAAAACTCCGTCAAGGTCAAGTCAAGTACAGACGCAGTACTTCATATACTCTCCCGCCGTGATTTTCACATCAATTTTAGGACTGTAATCTAGAGTTAGAGCTACGACGTACGTGGACCTAACGCAGGGCGGTGGTGCAGTGTTAGGGCTGTCGCCGTCCTCCAGCAGAAGGTTCCAGGTTTGATCCCAGTGAAAATGTTCTTTAATGATCAGCGTCGACCAGGACAGCTTTCATTTCCGTTGTTTGTAAATCACTAAGTTATTTTTCTTCGACTGCGAGCGTCTGTTTGTCCTGATATTTCGCAGGAGGAGCGGATCGCCCCGAGTGTGTTTACGTTCTCAAAAAGTTCTAGGACAGATGTTGAGACTTCAAACGGTGTCGGAGTTTATTCACTGGCATCTGCAACAACAGTCGAGTTTCATCATCTCTTTCTGAACAGTCGAGACGTCAGGTTTTTAAAACCCTGAAAAATAAATCTTCAATTCAGAGTCAGCGTCTCAACTGAAAGGAAACCAGTGGAAAAAGTCACGTTTTACAACAGGGTTTGACAAAAGTTCTATTTGATTTGTTTTTTAACCCAAATTTGAAAAACATTTGAATCTGTTACAGTCACCTGGTGGGAGGGGCTTAGGACAAAGAGCTGTGAATGAGACAACCGCCCCCCAACTCCTTCACCCGCGAATAATAAAACAGTAAATAAAATAAAGACCACTGAGACACAGTGTTTATCAAAACTGTCACGTGACATTTACAGAGAAAAAAACAACAAAACAAAACTCTTTTTTTTTCAATGACCTCATGTTTGAGAACAAACTCTTCAAATGACCTTTGTTGTTTTATGACTTGAATATTAACACATCAGCACATCAAAGACATGAAGAAGAAGAAGAAGAAGAAGAAGAAAGTCAGTATAAACAAACCCCGGTCCGTCCAAAGAAATTTAAATTACAAGCTTTTCTCTGCATGGAAACACTTCAGATCAGATCAGTTCAGTTCAGATCAGTTCAGTTCAGTTCAGATCAGTTCAGTTCAGTTCAGTACAGTTCAGTTCAGTTTCCAGGGCACAGACTTATTATTTACATCCCGACCGTGGTGTCTCGGCCACAGAGCCAGTGTGACCCAGCAGACGTGTGTTAGAGGCTGCCAAAGACCGGCAATATTTACACAGCACGGAGACAAGAAGGCCCGGCAGGATTTACCTCCTGGAGCGGAAAAAAAAAAATCTGATCTTCATAACAACAAAAAACAATCAGTGTTTTAAAACCAACCGTTCACTGCTGATGAAACACAGAGAGAGGACGATACGACCGCAACCTGAAGGTAGAGTCTGTAGAAACTACTGGTCTGTGTTAGTAAACAACAAGAATGAAGATTTATTTCCCGTCCTTTGGGGGCGTGGGGGGCGCTATAAACACAGATTTAAATACCATAGTTCATGAGCTCAGGGCAAGATTGTTTTGAAGTAAAAAGAAACTAATTGACAGTATTCTATTCACATGTAAGAATTATGTTACAACACTGCCACCTAGAGGGTCTGTTTTCCATTAATAAGCATTTTAATATAAAAGCATTCTATCCACCCATGTCAAAGAACAAAACTAAAGCGCAGGAGAAATTCCATATTAAACACCATTATACAGTAGCGCCATCCAGTGGACAACGAATGACTCTTTGGGTTCGTTTGTTGTTGTTTTTTCACTCCATTTCTGCATACTCTACCTTTGAGATAATCTTTCTAAATAAATGTTATCTTTTATCATTGCACTGCAAAAACTACAGTGCAGAGAAAGGTAAAGCGGCACTGAGAGACAACCTCTCTCTCTCTCTCTCGCAGCACATCTGTCCATCAACAGCTAATAAATAAGTCAACCCAGCATCATCTAACGTCAGAGATATTTACAGCAGCTGACAACATGCTGAGGTTTGACACCGAGCAGAAAACGCTCAGTCGGGCGGCCCACGGCCAGGCCTCTCGTGGCCCATATCTGGTATACGGGTTTCCAAAATGTGGGCCACATCAAAGCAGAACTAAAACTAAGCAGAAACGACCACCTTTTCACAGATACAACAGAAAAAGAAAAGAAAATGAAAACATTTTTGATTCGATTATACAGAAAAATTAATCACTTCAGTGGTCGATGTGGGAGACACGTGGGCCATGATGTGGGCCATGATGTGGGCCATGATGTGGGCAACAAACTTTAACCAGTACTAACTCTCCTTCGACCTTCTGTTGGGAGGAGAAAAAGACTATTTTTTGGTTGAAATTGGGCTGCGGTCCGGCCCATAGGCTGGATACCAGATGTGGGCTGCATAAGACTCACAATGCATTTGTGTGTAAAAGAAATAGGTCACGTGGCTCAACATGTGTGACGTGGGTTTGGTTACAGTTACAGTAGAGCTTGTGTAACTCACTGTTACTGTGGGCCACAGCCTGTGGGTTCGTTACCTGTTCGTAGGGATGTCCGATATTAACTTTTTGCCGATATCCAATATACCAATATTGTCCAAACAATACATTTCCGATTGCGATATCAACTGATACCGATATAGGCCTGATAATATTTATTTATCTGTACAAACCATTGAATGATTATGCGATTAATTAAATGAGCTGCAATGCTGCCACCTAGTGATTTGAACTTTGATATACATCCGTTTATCCCCAAAACTATTTTTAGGGCACACATCATTTGGCATTGAGTTATTGGGTTTTCATTATCGAAGGAAAAACCGATAACGATTCTTACAGACATTACATAATTATGCTAATATCGTGCCGACAACACGGTCGGCCGATATTATCGGACATCCCTCCCTTTTTGTACATGTGGCGATGGAGGACAACAGTGAGACATCGTACATCGTACGTCATAGTTACGACACCAGTGTTCGTCTAGACCAGAAGTGCTGTGCATGATTTTACAGAATATATAAAAAGAATAAAGGAACATTTACACATATTTACACCTGCCGACGTCACATCAACACCAGCAGAAAACAACAACACACCAGTTCATGGCAACAGTCGATAGCATGTTGTTAGCTAATGTGGCGCTAATTAAAACAGTGACTTATTTTAAATGAATCTAAAGATCAAAGGTTACATCCATCAAGCCTTTGTAAAGCAAGACTGCCCCCTACAGGCCCTGCTTTGGGACAGACACTGCTGCCTAAGAAGTGGTCCAGATTACGGACAGGTCTTTTCCAGACTATATGCTGCACTGGAATATTCAAGAAGGAAAGTCTAATCTGGAAAGAACAAGAACTAAAAATATTAACGTAACAAGTTCAACGACTACATTTTCATCAGTGGTGTTTTGCGTTGCGTTGTCAACAGTTGTCAACCTTCTGTGGCTTTAAAACTGGTCTCAGGATGCACGTGTTAGCTGTGATAGCGTTTGGCCTGAAAGGTTGTCATGGCAACGGACCAATGACCTATAGCAGTGGTCACCACATATATTTGACGCCTCGCCTCGTGGACAGGACACTCAAAACAAACAGAATTATTTGATGTTCAGTCACGGGCCGGGTTCAGGGCCACGAACCGCCAGTTGATGCTCACTGACAGCAGGCCGTACGTACGCACAGCTCTTATATACAGTGTAGGGTTCGATCTTTTTCCATGAATTCTTGATGAGTCCCGTGTGGAGTTCAGGTGTTTAACGCGTCAAAGTCTGACCGTCTCTGTTGGAGTTTCGAACGTGGTGAAAACCACGACCCTTGACCCTTGACCCTTGACTCCTCGGGGCTCAGATGGTCAGCTGCAGCTTGGTCATGTTCCTCTGGTGCATGTTGTGATGTCGCACCAACTCATCGCTCCGAGCAAACTTCTTCTGACAGTTCGGCCACCGGCAGAAGAACGGTTTCTCACCTGAGAGAGGAAGACGGAGACGGAGACAGGGACGGAAGGTTGAGTGGGGGGGGAGAACAAGAGGGGGGAGAACAAGGGGGGGAGAACAGGGGGGGGAGGGCAGGTGCAGTGGTGACAGGAGGGAAGTAGAAGTGAATAAAACAAAAGAACAGTTTTAGTACACTGATCTGATCCAATCAGAACAGAACGATGAAGTTGAATTTGTACAGAATATTTACGTGTATTACTTTAACACTGAAGTATTACTACACTAAGAATATTCACTGAGTACTTTATTAGGAATACAGATACTGCCACCTAGTTTTTTTTCCTGCTGTGAGGAAACATTGACAATTCTGTGACGTTTCATTGAAAAACAATGTTTGACCACGAGGTGGCGCCGCCATCATTAAAAAAATACATAGCAAAAAACAAAAAATCCGGACTTTACGAGTTATTCTTAGTAAAAACAAATCAACTAACTAACTATAACTAACCAACTAACAACTATACCTAACTAATTATAACTAACCAACTAACTAACTATAACTAACTAACTATAACTAACTATATATAGTAGTGTGACGAGACAAGTTTTGTGTCGCTCCTTTTTGTAAGTCATGTTCTGCAGCTTAAAACTCCACATACACATATCTACAGTGCCTCCCCGTGTACACAAGAGGTACTGCAGCCAGTTTCCACACAGGCTTTTTTTTTTTTTTTACAAATTAATAATCAATAACCAAATAAAATACTCAGTGTGAATACCAACACTACACATAGAATATATATAAATAAATCATACATTTATGTTAAAAATTACACAATTTGATATCAAATGAATGAGGAAGAAATGAAAAAATAAAAGTTTACGCACTTGTTTTACCTGTATGAGTCCGGGTGTGTGTCTTAAGGTGGTCAGACCGAGAGAACTTTCTCTCACACGTCTCACATTGGAAGGGTTTTACTCCTGCACACGTATACAGTTTACACACACACACACACACACACAGCACAAGGCCACACATCCATCCACACACAGACACACACACACAAAAAGAAAATAGAGTAGAGCAGAGGCCTGCAGGTACGAAAGCCATTCCAAAGATTTGCCAGTTGTTGAACTGTGTCTGTCAAAAGACGACACCGTGTGGGTGACATGCGAACGGCAGCGGACGTCAAGTCGTAAACACAAAGACTGAGGGCACCGGAGGAAGTGAATAAAATAACATAAAATAAAATAAAACGGATAATAAATAAACAGAAATGCAGACTGAGGCAAAGGTGTCAAACCTGTGTGTCTCCTCTGGTGCCTTTTCAGTTGGTCGGAGCGGGAAAACCTTCGACCACAGTCCGTAAAGTCACACTGGTACGGTTTATCTCCTGGACAAAGAGCAGAGGTTAAAAATCAACGGATGTGACGTTATTTACACGTGAATGCGCGGCAGTTACTGCCCACTCAGATTCTCAGGAAAAACACATTCGGTCCACGTCCACTTCCACTTCCCGGTGTCCGCCGTCCTCCACTTCCGGTGTGTCTCACCTGTGTGTTTGCGACCGTGCGTCTGGAGGTGAGACAGTTTGAAGTAGCGCTTGTTGCAGCCGGGGTAGGCACACACGAAGGGCCGCTTCTCACTGGTCTGTGAGCGGACGATGGTCGGAGCGATACCGGGGACCCTCCTCACATCCTGCACACACACACACACACACACACACACACACACTCAGTTTTCCTGCTTCAACATTAACTTAAAAAAAATCCAGTTTATTACTTTTTAAACTGCAGTAAAATCAGGTTTAATTTAATTATAAATCCAACAACAACAACAACACCAAAAACGCTGGTTAAATTTAAGGTGACAATAAGTTTCAGTGAAAACAAAGTCTTCTGTGGATCAGTTTAATAAAATACTTAAGTGTGAATTAATCAAAGTCTTCTGTGGATTTAATAAAATACTTAAGTGTGAATTAACAGTAAATTAGCAGTGAAATCAGTTGACAAGTTCTCTCTGTTTCATCGTTTAAGAATTAAATGAGAAGTAAATAAAACTGATCTGACTCTTCAGTGTTTGGAGGTTCATAAAACACAAGGAGAAAAAAAAATCCATCATCACTTCTTCGTAAAATGTAATTTTGACCCTCCAAAAAAAAAAAAAAAAATCACAGGGACAAAATATAGAACATATAAACATTTTTTTCTTCATTAAAAAAAAATCCCTATCTCTGAAAAAAGCTGAGATTTTTCTCAGTGATCACTATAAAAAAAACAAAAGAGAAACAACTTTTTTTCTGTGTTGTGGACGTCACGTAGCGTCCAGATCTCGACCACATACATATATATTTATATATAAATATAATCTCTGGACATAAACGTGTGTCAGTAGAACATAAATGTTCCCAGGTCTGAGAGCTGGAGTAAAAACGTTATCTCACATCTTCATCAGACGTTAAATCCAAAAGACAAAAGACCAACGTCATGTTTATGGTCGTGCACAGAACCAGACGTCGTGTGTGTTTTTACATGGGGTTCATCGACTGAAGGTGGGGGGTGGGGGGGGGTCAAAGAGAGAGAGAGAGAGAGAGAGACGGAGCAGAGTGAAAAATGAAGCAGCCCCCCCCCAAAAAAAGATAAGAAAAATGTGCAAAAGTCCTGTGAGCAGGTCTGGAGAATCTCTGCAGTCTCTCTCTCTCTCTCTGTCTCCCAGTGTCTCTCTCTCAGAGTCGCTGACAGACAATAATTAAAATCCAATGATTTATTAACATTCTGATGCTGTATGGAAACTGTATCTGTACCCAGTGTAACCTGCCGTGTGTGTGTGTGTGTGTGTGTGTGTAGTAAATCTCTGCTCTGCTCAGACCACGTCTTCCTCCTCTCTGTTTACTGCATCAGATTCTCCAGCGCTCTTTGAAATGGAGCCGTGTTTTTCCCAACATCGGCGTGTTTTTCCATTAGAATTCCCGTCTGTGTGACACTGAACATGTTTGGTCGCAGAGGTACGTCGAGCGTTCGCAGCAGAGCCAAGGTCAGCGTGACCTCAGCAGGGCAGTAAATAAGAGAGGAGATAATTCAGAAAGAGCTCGTGTTTCTAACTCTGCTGCCACGACACAGAGACACGACGGGTGAGAATATGGGGGAGACATATTTAGTGGGGGGGAGGGGGGCGTGAAATATTTGCTGTGGATTAATCATGAAAAGTTAGGATGGTAGTTAATCAGGATTAATTATAAATCAGGTTCTGGATAGAAACCTCACAGACCAGACACTGAAATAAAATGGAATGGAAATAAATTTCTTTCTCTAAAATTATTATTTGGAATTCTGTCGTGGGCCGGAGCGCATGGTTTTGGTGGGACGGATTGGACCCACGGGCCGCCAGTTGATGATCACTGTTATTAATTATTAATGTTTAAATTATTTGTTTCAAACATGACAAAAAAACACACCACGGCACACCACCCTGTTTAGTTAACGACAACGCTGATATACTGGCAGGTATTGAAGAAAGATCTTCTTCAACAGCTCTGATTATCTTTTTTTTTTTTTCGTTTTAATAACCATCTGCTGCCACCTAGTGGAAGATGATTTAATTGCTCAGCCTCTCAGGCATTGACGTATAAAGAAAAAATATTTGCAATAAATAAATAACAGTTTTGTGCCCAAATTAAGTGTCATCAGATACTTTTCCGCGGCACACTAGTGGGCCACGGCCCAGGGGTTGGGACTCGCTGGTCTACAGTCTATTTAACGATGATGTCAGTTGTTATTTACTGCCCTGCGCTCTGACATGAGACGTCGCCTCAGGTCGAAGCCTCAACAAACACACGCTGGACCTTTAGTTGGTTTTTTCAAACACGGTGAAACAAAAAACGTTTTTGTTGAATCAACGGTGTGTTACAGCAGTGACTAGTGGACAGACGACTGAATTACTGGACATTTTAATGAATGATTCATTTGCAGCGCAGCTTCATCACTGACAGCATGAGTTGCGGTGCAGTCGTACCTGTATGCCTCTGATGACTCCGTGTGTGTGTATGCGGTACTGCGTGCTGCAGCTGTACACCATCGGGGTGCTGGGGTCGCTTTCGTAACCTGCTGCGTGGCTGTAAACACAGAAAACACAGAGGAGTGATTCATTTGACTGATTTACTCACTCTCACTGATAGAGGGCGTAAATCAGCACTTTAACGTTCCCCTTCAAAATTCAAAGAAAAAAAAATGTTACGAGCTGAGATTCACAGTTTGGCTTTGTGGATGATGAATGTGGAGCAGACAGACGTCAGATAATAAGATGTAAGAATAAGAGGCAGGGACATCACTTACAGCCTGTCACCAGCAGAGGCAGATATATAGAGCACGGCTGTGTGTGTTGTAGTTCGCCTGCTGTGTGCACACACACTGGGGTCAGGAACATATCGTTACTCACCCACGTTCACCTCCTCACACGCTCTGTAATGTAAAACACAGGGCACGGAGTCGGCTGAAAACATGTGACCTCTAGTGATGTATGTTGGTATTTTTTTTTTCATTCTTTTTTCCAGAACCTACAGCTCTGCTGCTGAACTGACACTGACGTCGATATTAAAAAGATTTTTCTTTAATTTAAGTTAAGAGTTTGAACTTTGGCCCAGTGTGTTTAAAGTCTGGCCCGGGGACCAAAGTGTGGTCCCTGGATACACTTTTTTGTGGCCTGTGAATTTAAAAAAAAATCTTTTTCCAGCAAACGGATCAAAATAATTTGGCTCATTTTTAGCTGATTGTTGGTTTACTTTATTTAAGTTAACTTAGTTTTTAAATGTAGCCTTTTTTCAGTTTTTAGCTTCAAGTTTTTAACTAAATACTTGGCCAGTTTTGATGTGTGAGGTTTGTGTGAATTCACCCTGATTCACCGTAGGTATCGATCACTTCCCTTTTTTAAATTTCTAGCCCAGGCGAGGACGTTTCTGTTCGGACTGAAACTCCTCTTTATCAAAACCAACTCCTACAGATGAGAGAGTGAAGAAGAGTACGATGACTTCAAAAAACAAAACAAAAGTCTTTCTGTGTGAGACGCAGCTGCTGGAGCTGCAACTGTTATCTCTCCTCCTGATAACAGAGGAAAATAATGTTCCTGTCTTTGAAAATGTGTCATATTTTAGTTTGTTTGTCCAAAACTGAGGATGGGAGTTCAAATCCTGGATCAGGTGCAGTGAAAATGTACAGTAAAATCCTCAAACTCTTTATGTAAGATGGGAAACGACTACGTGAAGTAGTTTTTTTCATTTGGTCAAGGACGAAGAGTGGACGTGAGAAAATGAACGTTGGACTGAGCTGAAGAGAAGAACCTGAATGATACAGAGAGAAACAGTTAAATACAAATGTTAAATGTTAAAAAAAAACATATATTGTCAAACTGGACCTAATTAAAATCCAACATTATTGATTAGTTTGAGTTTTAATATGGGCCACAATTTTTGAATATTTTGGTGAAAAAAACATGGGTGATGCAGGTGATTTAAAAAGTGAAAAATCTAAAAAAAACATTTCAACAACAGTGAACATGATGTAGTGCAGCGATTCCCAACCCCTGGGTCGTGGCCCACTAATGTGCCTGAAAGTGTGTCTGAAAACTATTATTTATTTATTGCAAATAAATGTGCTTTGTTCGTCAATGTGTGACAGACAGAGCAATTAAATCCTCTTCCGCTAGGTGGCAGCAGATGGCTATGAAAACTAAAAACTAAAAAAAATCTGATCTTTCTTCAATTCCTGTCAGTATATCAGCATTTTCTTCATCTAAACAGGAGTAGATTTTCAGTCAATTTAAACTGGAATATTATTATATTTTTGTTTGGTGGTGTGTCGTGGTGAACAAAGACACGACTGTGAACAGACGGTGTAGGACCGACGCGGTGTCAGGTGTGGAGCGGTTTAAGCGTCAGCCTGAAACTTCTCTCCTGCCTTATCTGTTCTTCCTCTGAAGGCTCGACTCCCCTCCACTTCCTCTTCCTCGTCCCATGCCTCTCGTCTCCTTGCCCTTTATCTCCACTGACTCCCATCCTTCTCCTCCTCATCCTCCTCCTTCCGTTGCTTTGCTTTCTTACTCTCCTCATCCTTATTACTCCCTCACACCCCCCCGCTCCGCTCCGCTTCGTCGACAGAAACAAACAACATGTTGGCTTCTCACAGAGAGGAGAACATGTCATGCTCTTATCAGACGACCTCCCCCTCCTTCATCCTCACCCCCCCCCACACACCTTTAAAATCAAACTGACACGTTCAACACAATGATTGAACATTACACCATTCTGTACCAGAGAGACTTCAACAAAAATAACATCACCACAGACCAGGACGACACACACACACACCGACACACACACACATACCTACAGTGTGACGGATGACTGTTGGCTGAGACTAGAACAGTATTTGTTGGTGTTTACAGACGAGGACCAGTGAGCTCCTCTGAGGGTCACTGTGACACCAGGTCCACTCTGTACCACTCAACAGGTATGTGTGTGTGTACTGTATGACTCCTACACCAATAAATGTGTACATTTTCATTTCCACAAGCAAGTTTCACATTTTGTTCGTTTTCTGAGAGACACAAACTGAACTCATGGGTTTAAATCTACGTTAGCATCTCTGACTAGCTAAAGAGTAGTTAAGAAGTCAAGGCTAATACATGACGAAAAGTTCTCAGATGACGGTGGGATATGCTGTGAAAGTGGTTGTCAGCGTGTGAGGCTGGAGGCCTATCACTTGGGGGCGCCAGAGCGATTAAGAGGAAGCACGAAACAAGAAAAAAACGGGGAAGTGTCTGACAAGAGCTAAAGTAGCTAACTGGAATATGATTGGATGGATCTGTTGAGGCCTACGGTGTTGGACGTGTTCTACGATGTGGTGGTATCTAAGACGGTGATTCCCAACCTCTGTGCCGTAGCCGTGAGAGATCAATAATTATTTATTCATTTCCTGGAATTTATTTTTTTTGTTTGTCAAAACATGAAAGGCAGAACAATTAAATCCTCTTCATGTAGGGGGCAGCAGATGGCTATGAAAAATGAAAATAATAATCAGAGCTGTTGAAGAAGATCTCTGAGTGTCTTTCTTCAATTCCTGCCAGTAAATCAGTGTTGTCTTCAACTAAACAGGCTGAGGTTTTAGGTCATTTAATCTAGAAGATTATTTTAGATTTCTTTACAGAGACTTTTTGTTTGTTGATGTGCTGTGGCTCAAAAAAGGTTGGGAAACACCGGTCTGAGAGACAGGAGGCCTAGTAGAAGGTGGACGACGTCTAAGGTCTAGGGTTCGATGCCTGAGGGCGTCATCCCTGTTGGAGAAACACCACTACATGGAGTGAGTGCTGGAGGGAACAGTGGAGGAGGTCCTACCTCTTGATGCTGGAGGCCAGCGTACTGACAGGGTTCCATGCCACACACTCCAACTGAGAGGTCATTTGATATAAACTATCTCCACTGTGGAGGAGAGACAAAACGTAGAAGAACGGCTGGTGAGCTGTGAGGATCTCGGAGGTGTCAAGTTAGCTAAATATATTTTTAACGTTATCGTTTGGCTAACACTTTGGTACTTGGTTACATGTTTTGACTAGCTATCAGTAAATCTACGGACGTACCGTGTTTTCCGGACTACAAGTCACTCTGGAGTCTAAGTCGCACCAGCCAGCTAGCGTGCCATCTAGTGGCAAACATGTGAAATTACATATTTTCTAATATATAAGTCGCAAACCCAGTCAAAGGATGAAAAAAAGTGTAACTTATAGTCCAGAAAATACGGTACCTTCAGTTATCATTTAGCTAATTGGTTTAATTTAGTTTATTTTTAAATAGCTCTAACTATGTCTGTCTTTTTTAGCTGAGACAAATGTCTACTTCCTTGAGTTAAGACAAACTTGTCCCTCGTGTCAAACACACTTGAATATATTTACCAGCAGAGATTTCCTGAAAATTTATGAATGAAAGAAAAACTTGATATATTTCACCCTTTAATTCCTGACCCTCACACACACACACACACACACACACACACATTTGGACACTCTCGTGTTTCTGGACGTCTTCTATGAAACACAGCAGATTCCACAGACATTAGTCAGAGCTGCCGTGTGATTAAATACAGTGTTGCAGACACACACACACACAGTGAGTAGATGTCTAGCATTCACCTCCCCGCTCCCTCCAACCATCCTCGT